ATGCAGGAGTTATTCGGTGTCCGGTTTGTGAGGTATTTGAGGGTGATGAAGTTGCTGTTGCGCATCATGTTGCGAGGCATTTTGATTGAAATATCTCTTCTCTGTGCAGCATTTCTGGGCATATCTCGTGTGGTCGTGGACATGATACGGAGGATTTTCAGGGGTTCATATCGGATGGTACCTGGCTATCAGAATTTTGCCACAAAGTACCCTTATATACAGCCCGACTGACAAGGAGTAGTGCAGCAGGCTTCTATCTCCAATGCACGAGAGATCACAGGGGAAAGGACAGGGAAGTCGCATATGAACCGGATTCCAGACAAAAGTCGCTCGTGTCAAACGGATATCGACGAAAGAAGACTCTTGAGGCGAACCACCGTCTCTGCTGCTCTGTCAGGCCTACGGCGTTACCTTATAGTATAAACCGCCAAATGTACCACAGCAGAAACCTCAACGAGACACAAGCACATCTTTCCGTGCAATTCCAAACACCACAGCACATGTCTCGCTCCGATGATCCTCACCGCGTCCTGTATCTGAAGCGGGCCTCTCTTAAACACCGAAAAAATCTCCCCTAACCGTCTGGCACGATGCTGCTGCTGCTGCTGCTGCTGCCACCCTTGGTTCACCGGCGCAGAGATCAATGTCTCACAAGCAGACGGCAACAGACTGGCCTGAACGAGAATCAACGCTATAAACGAAGGAAACAGGAGCAGCAACTGTGCGGCGAGCATGACTCCTGACACTAAGATGTCAGATCCAACAATACCCGACAAATACGCTTTCGTGATCTCTGTTTCAGTGGGCAGGGAGAGGTCGCTGTCAAACAGGGCAGGCAAATGCATCATGAACGATTCAATGACCGCATGCAGTGCGGTTGCTGGCACCAAGGCTTTCCATCGTTGGCGATCGCGGGAGGTCGGCACAAAAGGCTGCTGGTCGCACGGAAGTATGGTGCGCGCAGTCCACAAGAATCGATTTTCAGCGAGCAGGACCGAGGCTAAGATATATGCGACCGGGCTAGGAAGGAATAATGCTGTCTTCAACATACTTCTCGCGCACAAATGCTTGATCCAGTAGCTACAGGCAGGGCCAATGCCATTCAGGAGGAGACGGAGATTGCCCTTGTGGTAGAGAGTGGCGATGGTTTGAATTAGGTGACGGCTGGATGGACCAGGCCTTTTGTGCCTAAGTTCAGAATCATAGCTGGTAGCTTGCTTATCCAAGCTCTCGAGTATCAATATAGACATTAAGACATGCCCAAGAATATACCGAATCTGAAACCTATCAGTCTGCGATGCTCACGGACTGCCATTAGTTTCCTCACTTACTAGAAAGTCCAGAATGATCCCGAAAGCAATAGGCACTAGCAGGAATAAATTATCGGTACGTGCAGGTTCATTTTGCCAGATGGCATGAGCTTGTGCAAGTAGTGGATCGCCCCCAGCGGAATGGACAAAAGTATTGAGCAGTGTGCGAAAGAGGGTTACCCAAAAGTGCGGCGATGGAGCATATGCCATCGTGCCACGAACAATACGTTTGGGAAGAGAGAATGCCAACGGAAACAACAGGACGACGGGCATTATATATGTCATCCTGTGCCAGGATCAGGGCCATACAGTTCCTAATCGATCGATGGATCCAAACTACTTAGCCTAGGCAGAAGCGCAAATCCCCAATAGAACACGGTACGTCATTGGATCCGAGGGCGAGACCTTTTTCAATAGTGGGGCATATCTACTTTGGCCCTTCATGGGACCCTGGATGGACCCTTATTGGATCCTAATGTGAGACATGCTTGCTGTAAGACCGAAGGCAGGTGGTAGCGTCCACGTGGCTTGAATATCATATTGTGTTGAATGATGACATGAGTAGAGCTGCTGATATGGCCACGGTGTCTTATTCATGAATGCTCTCTAGGATAGAGAACTGTGGCTTAAATAGGTATATGCATGATCCTGGAAAGAAACCTTGTAATAAACCTTAACATCGCATGAGAGCTAACCGGTTTTGTAGTTTCCTTTCATCCTACGCAGACTAGGCAAAGAGAGGGAGCAGTTACACTAAGGAATCTAGTCACTCGATCAAGAACTAGCATGAAAAATGTCCAACGCATCTTGCAGGTGCTGCTCCACATCCAGGTCCCAGATCCAGCGCATGCGCATATCTAGATTCTCGCGAATCTTGTCAACATTATCCCACACTCCCTCTTTCTGACACTCATAGAGCATGCCAGCATCCCGACTAGTGCGTACCAATTCCTGGGTCCGGGGCCGTCGTATGGCATCATATGCTACGAACGCTCGGACCAAGTCATTCTTCTCCCGGACCGCTCCCAGGAGACGTGACAAGACAAAGACATCCTCCACTGCCATACCCGCTCCAGCACCCTGATGCGGCGTGCTCGCATGAGCTGCATCCCCAACGAGGCAGATGCGGCCACCCCGGTGATAGGTACTGGCGGGCGCATGTTCGAACATGGCCCATATATCTGCATTCCTCATCAGGGAGAGGATGGCTCTGACATCTGGTCCCCAGCCTTCAAAGTCCTGCAACATCTGTTTTTTATTCCCTGGCAGCACCCACTGGGACCCGTGCTCCCAGACCCCATTGTCCTTTGTTCGGAAGGCCACGACGTTCATTGTCCGGCCGTGCTCGATCGGAAACGTTAGGAGATGGCCGCCGTATCCCCAGTGGAAGTGATTATTGCGTGCTGTGTACTCGCCCAGAGCGGCAACTGCTTCATCCATCGGGATCAGGCCTCGATAGGCATATTTACCCGTAAAAACAGCGTTAGCTGCCTCTTCACCTTCAAGCAATATTTGTCGCACTCGTGATTTGATGCCATCACATCCCAGCACTGCATCTGCCACGACGGAAGTTCCATCCGCGAAGTGCACTGTGGCTCCATCCGCTCCCTCTTCGATCGAGACCAGTCTTTTGCCAAAGCTCACGAAGCCCCCTTCGGGTGGAAGTAGTGCCGTCATGGCCTCGAGAAATCGAGCGCGATGAACGCTACTCCTTGCGACTGGCGCATGCACCTCGTGCAGGTAATCACCTGCTTTCAGACTGTTGGATGGTGGGCCTCTCCCATCCATGCCCATCCGATAACTGGACCAAAGCTTCTTATCTAAGGCGCCTGTATCTGGCTGAAACGTCGCATGTTGGTTATAGGCCGCTGCTAGTCCGCTGTCAATGAGCTCCATGGCACGAATGGAGTTCGAACCGAAGGCAATCCCAGCGCCGATCTCCGAGAACTCTGGTGTGGCTTCATAGAGGTGCGGTGCGATATTCTGACGGGAGGTGTGCTTTAGCAGTGCTAGGAGGAGGGTGACGCCTGCGATACCACCACCGACAATGGCGATTCGGAGAGGTTTGTCATTGTTGGACACGGTCATGTTTGTATGCAAATGCTGGGCAGATCTTCACAGGCGATCCTGTTCGTGCGCTACATTGACATACGCAGGGGCAGTTTCCTGACATGGTAGAACGGCAACCGGGTTAGAAGGAGGGGTAAGCTGCTTCGGAATGCTTGCTCTCTAGCGTCGCGAGCTAAAAGTCGCTTGATAGTGTCTGCGGTAGGATGCTATAGTGAGGCTGCTAAGCACACCGGGTCGGGCTCCCCCGTTCCGCGGCCGTTCCCCAAGCCTGCCAAGGGGACCCCAAAGCTTGTTGCGATGATCGATGATAAGTCCTAGTGAGAGCCACCACAGACGTTGGCAAAGGGAAATTTCTATCCCAAGTCTGATTACAGTATGTATCTAGCTCACAACGGGTGAAATTTCTGTCATACGCGGGGCGCGCGCAAGGACGCTCACCCTGACTCGTTGCGAGACCGGGGATAGGATATAGCGACGCCGCTAAGAGCCATCCTAGCAGGGGACTGCATCAGCGGCCTACGCATATCGGCCTATCATTCTTCGCGACCGTAAGCACACTGCAACCACGGTCGGCTATGCCGTCACGAGGGGACTGAGAATAAGTGACATGAAAGATTACATCTCCCATCGCCGTTTATCCTCTACAGGAAGCTTCCCAACATAGAAATTCAGCGCAAAGTAATTAGCGTGTTCAAAGTTGGAGCCACGCATGACGAGGCCTGGCAAAGATCGCACGGCTGGTCGAGCCACTAGATGTACGCTAAGGCTAAGTCTCGAAGCCACACTGACTGGCCGACTCCACCTGTTGATTAATCTCAGTGACGATCTCAATATCCCCAACAGGCTTCTGGATTAAGTCTGAGCGACTACTTCCTGACCGATGTCTTGTCCGGCTCGCTGCCGAGGTAACCTGATTTGACAGCTTTGACAGCTCGTATGGCGGTCGCACGTAACTGGGGTAGGAAGATGACCCATCCCGTGGGCGACTGAAGGATCTTCCGCTGCGCCGCACTTTTCTGTCCCTAATTAGGCGTACAATTGGCATCAGGCTGGGCAGGCAGGATACCACTACTCCGAGGCTGCTCTCGATTGCAGTCCAAAGGTGGGAATAGGTATCTGACCCTACCAGACCAAATTGGATTAGTATGGCACACAACAATTGACAAGCAATGGAAATCGTACAAGTGATATCCGAATCACTGATTGCAATCAGGTTTTCGAGGCGGACAATCGAGATGGCACAGACACTACCGTTGCAAATTGTCAGTTCGCTGGACCTATGAAGAACTGCGCTGCAGACATCTTACATGACCCCCAGAGTAAAGATAATTGACAAACCGATCTTCCTAGCCCAGGGTATTTGTAGCTTCCAAATCTCTCGTGTGGGTAAAACCAGCAAAAGGACATCGGTGCACAAATTGGTCGCAGCTAAAGTGGTCACAAAAGGGACAAAGTCTATGCAGTGCCCTTTAGTGGTCTTCTTCTGCCACTCGTGATGTATTGGGATACATTGAAAAATGGCAGTTGTTTGAAATGCAATGTACCATACAGCCAAAAACAGCATGATCGAGCGACATGCAAATATCATGGAAGGCACGGGGAAGATGCGCTGGTAGAAGAGGACGATAGAGAGCTTGATAACCGGAAGGCAGGTATTCCAGAAGAGCTGCATCACATACAGGTTCTATTTGTCCCGGTCCTGGTCAGTTCCAGCCTCACTTGTCTCTTTTTCAGGGAAAAATAAGGGAAATACCAAGGAATACTCCTGAACAGTAGCGGCTGAAAGTGTATCGACATGTTCCCCAACACCTGCATGAAGACCTTCGTTACTCTGTCAGCGGTCACTTATCGAGAAATGAGGGCTAGAAAGAAGCAATCACTCTGGAAAAGAAGTGCATTAACCGCAAGTGCTAGGGCCTTGAGTCAAATAAGCCTGTCTTCGTCGTAAGGAACGGCTAAGTTTCTTACCAAAGCGATAATACTCAGATAGTCTTCTATGAACAGACTCAGACCCTGTAGCCTGCGTGCCCAGATTCTCAGAACGACTGCTAAAATTGAGAGTACAACGAGAATGCTGTTTATGATGACGATCTGTAGCTGTCTGGTGTTGTACGCGCCCGTCAACGTCAGCCCCATGATGTGCTTGGCGTGACAGAACTCGCAACATCTTTTCTGCGTCAAAAGCGGCCAGATAAAATACTCATATGTTACTAGGATTATAATAAAGTGAAGCAGGGCATGAGACATGCTTCATAAAACGCCCCGGTCACTCTGAGACGCTATTGTAGGACAGAAAGGCCGGCGGATGCAGGCATTCGGGCCAAGCCCGGTCTAATCCAGCAATCAGAATGGTCTAGAGCTTAGCATGTCCCACAATGAAGACACCGTTCTTCCCACAGGATCTAGCATATAGTGAGCTCACTACCCCCCTGTCAATGTGCTGTCCAAACTTTTGCTTTTCCCAGACTCTTGCGCGTACGCGGTCGCAATCCCTGTCACCAATAAAAACTTATTCACAGGCCCCGGCTCAAGGAATTAGTACCATGGAAAAGCCTACGGATGATTTACCTACTCCTTTGGACACCAAAGACCATGCGGCGTTTAAATCCTTCGACCTATCAAGTGACGGGCTACGGACAAAAGACGGCGTTGTCTTAGTTCCTCAACCATCCCAAGATCCTGAAGACCCATTGGCATGTTGTTTCTTTCCGTACATCATCCATCCTGTGCCGTCTGAGTACTGACCGCTGCCTAGAATTGGGCCAGAGGTCGGAAGTTGAGAAACCTGACTATCCTCTGTATGGCAGGGTTCGCAGGGACCGCACTAGATCTGGCGAACCAACTTGCTATGAAGGACCAGGCGAAAAATTGGGATAAGGAACTTATAGAGATTACTTACACCATCTCTGCCTCGATCGCAGGTATTGCCTATGGGCCATTGCTGATTAATCCGGTGGCGCAAGCATTTGGTCGCACTGCGATTATATTTTGGTGCCTGGTGTTTGCGATGGCCTGTGCTATATGGTCAGCTTGCATGACAAGCAAAGGCGACTATGAGCGTTTTGTTGCATCGCGTCTGTTTGACGGTATATTCGGATCAATCCCCTCCATCGTTGGCGTGGGAGCCGTGTATGACATGTTTTTCTTGCATGAGCGTGGCAAGGCATATGCCATCTTCCATGTCTCCTTCCTGTTTGGCACGGTTGCGGGTCCAACCTTTGGGGGGTTCATCGTCCAACATACGAACTGGCCCTGGGTGTTCTGGTGGATCGTGATCGCGCAGGGACTTGTTCTCATCCTTGGTAAGTGCAGAGCCCGTAAAGTGATATGCAGCTTGGCATTGGTCTTATTCTATTTTAGCATTCTTTTTCTTGGAAGAGACCAGCTACCCTCGTGAGGGGAAGATTTTATCGATTGTCATGCCTAAGAGCTTCTGGGCAAAGCGAATGGCCACACTGCTTCCTCATAAGACGGGGATTTCCCGCGCAGAACTGGTAGCCGTGATTTCCTCACCTCTATCAACCAATTCTGACTCAAGATGCAGGGTCGCATCGCTCGGCTACCCTTCCGGGTTGGTTTCTCGCCCGTTGGTCTGCTTATTGGCATCTTCCAACTAGCATCTTTTGGCTGGTTCGTCGCAACGCACAGCCTCTTGACTGTCTGGCTGGAGAAACCTGTCTCCGTCGGCGGATGGGGATTTAGTCCTCAACGGAACGCCTTCTGTACGCCTTCACTCCCCTCCCCCTCCCCAAATTCCTTATGCCCATGGCTAACCACCACGAAGTCATCTTCTCCCTCTGGGTTGGCCTTCTGACGGCCGAACTATGGGGCTACCTCTGTAACGACCGCATCGCTCTATGGATCTGCCGCACGCGCGAGAAGGGTGTATGGAAGCCTGAGTGTCGGCTACATGCCCTCTGGGTCCCATCCCTCATTATTCTCCCCATCGGCCTCGGCATTGTCGGATCTGCTCTGCAATACCATCTCCACTACATGGTCCTCGCCCTAGGTGCCTACCTCATCACCTTCGCCTCGATGAGCTCTGTCCCAATCGCTGTAACTTACATGATCGAATGTGTCGCCTCGCAGCCCACCGAGATGGGTGCGTTTATGGGCGCTTATCGTCTTACACTGGGGTTGGTCGTGCCGTTCTTCATCGATCAGTGGGTGGCCCGGGTGGGCTTCGGTTGGGTATATGGGATGATGGCTTTCTTTTCGATTTTTGCTTTTGGGTTCGTGGTTATGTTGATGCTGTTTGGTGATAGGTTAAGGGAGCGGACGTTGGCCAAATTGGCTCCTAGTGAAATAGGGGCCAAGGTTATATATACCAGCGATGAGGAGGGACGTTAAAATAATACATCTGGTAGGTTTGTTGTACAAATGCCAAAAACGAGGTTGCATACCGGATATTCAAAATTTTCAGGCGTCCTGAATCTAAGGGCTATTCCCTTCGAGGCTGATATAATAGGTTTCTTGGCCATCAAGACATTCCTGAAGATATATGGATACAATCTTACAACGGTATGCTACTAGTAATAGGTTTTGTCTTCTAGGAGACAATGACTATGTCGGGGTCTGTATCAATGAGGGAAAGATATATGTAACAAAGTACGTTACAACTGCATCTAAACCATCACCAGACTGACATGCCAGGGCTTCCCATAGCCTCCTCTCGTTCGAATCAAATCATAGGAGAGTAAGTCCTACCAGAGTGGTCAGATCATCTCTTCGAAGCGGGCCCCCTTCCTCTCCTTCAAAATGCCCGGTTTGTGCACAACAAGGGTCAGTTTACTCTGGTGATTTGTTCAATCTTGCGTGTAACTAATTTGGAAATAACAAGTCTGATTACAACTGAAAGTATGTATACAATGGGAGCCTGTAAGACACTGTAAGCAATGACCCACTCACGCATTGTGGGGCATGCTCCTCCTCATAAACGTCCGTTAACAATATTCGGTCAAAGCAGGCCAAAATAAGCTTGTCATATGAGCCCTTCTCTCGCCGCACTCATGGCATTTATGAGTGCGATGAAATCATGTCGTGAGCAAGAATGTGCACAGACGTGGTACATATGGAGTCTAGTGGATTTAGATAGAGAACTAGAGTTTGGGAAGGATAGAATTGGACCTAGACGTCATGTGCCAGTATGCCCCTACGTGCTTTGTCGGCGTTGATGCTATCCAAAGGGACAATGTTAAGCGGGGTAAACATAATGAATATGAGCCTTGCGAGGCAATAGGCAGTTGTCCATGATATACCTTTGAAAATTTCTTAGGCCTCTCGCTTTCTCGTTGAAGGTGAGTGCGTTGGTGCAAAAAGGAATAATTCAATATTGTGCACTCAGTGAAGCAGTTAGTAAACAATGACTGACAGGAGTGCTGTGGGGAGAGGTGGACGCGGATGTACACTACGGTCTTCACAATGGCTGAACTCCAAGGATTTGTTCTTCTGAGTCAAGTATGTGGTGGGAGATTATTCCTGGCCCTCCCGAGCCTCGAGGGGCAGAGGTGGGTCTGACCACGGGCTAAAATCATGGACCAGTTATCTTTGGTGTGATAACCTTGGCTCTTTCCCAAGTTAGCAATAAATATGCGAGTGGTCGAATCATAATGGCTTGCATTATTGGTTCATTGTCAGACCTAATTGCCTGCCATTTTAGTCTATGTGTGTTATAGCCGGTAGCGTTACAAGGTTCCATTTCCACAGAGACTGACCCTTGGTACAGTCAGGATAGTCATAGAATTCTCGTTACATCTATGTAACTCAGACTATTAGCATGCACATTGTAAATTCATCTCTATAGAGACCTCTTCGTGGTCCCAAACGGAAACATGATTGCTGATATAGATTGATACAATAAGGATCGTGTCAATCTTCTCTAGTTCTAATCTTTCTCAGCGTCGTTCAGTCGTTCTACTGAAATCGGCATCCACTAGACGCGAACAGCCTCAAACAAAGCATTTGACCCCGTTCCTTGATCATCCGACCGCCACACCTTGACAACCTCGAATCCGGCACGCTCCAAAAGGCTCAACCACTGCTTATCCGTGCGCTCTAGCGAAGAGAACATGTTCATCATAATAAGATCGACACTGGCATTGAACTTGGGTGCCCCTGTCTCAGGAATCGTATTCTCATTGATCAGCAGCACCGAATCATCAGCCATTGCTTCCCGAACCCGATGGAGGGCCTGCAGAGCCTGCTTATCCGGCCAGTCGTGCAGGACCGTCCGCATATAGTACGCCTTGGCTCCACGCACAGGCTGCACGTCGAACATGCTGTAGCTCACCGCCTCAACACCCTCGGCAAGAGGCTCCTTAATGTCCCGAATAACCTCGGGGAGGTCCTGCAGGACCAGGCGGCCAGCAGGGCTCTTCTTCTGCTTGAAGGCTTGCAGGTCGTGACCCTTGCCGCCACCAATGTCGACTAGGAGTACGCGACTTTCCTGCGCCTTGTCACCGGTGGCTAGTGACAACCGCTCTTGCCATGGGTAAAAATCATACCACTGAGCGCCCTCGACAGCTCGATTGCTGGTCTCCATCACTGTATTGAAAGCGTGCTGCTCGGCTGGGTCCTGTGCGAGCCACTCGAAGTGGTGCAGCTTGGTCCCGTACGCCAGCTGGAAGGGCGTGTCGTAGGCGTCATCTGGGCTACGGTATCCTCGGGCTTCGAGGAAGTCATGGGTGAATGCGGAGGCACGGAAGTTAACATGGCTACCCGGGGGATTGATAAATTAGTCACACAGTGTTTCACTTTCAATCTTGGGTTCGGGCAATGGACCACGTACAAGTTCTTAATGACCTCACTCGGCGGAGCTCCTGTAGCAAATGCCAAAGCCAAAGGCTGGGGTTGGTATTTGTCAACACCAGTTTCGGTGAACAGGCGATTAGCGACGAGGAGGCGCATGATTCTAACTGCAACGGGGACAAAATATGATTAATACATGGGTAGCAGAATATTGAAGATAGTTGAGTGAATTGTGCTGCTTAAAAGGAAGAGCATCTTACCAAGAAGGTCCTTGTCGCCTATGGTCTTTTCATCCAACTGGTCAAGAGACAATTCAGCGCCACCGGAAGCGACAAATGCATCAAAGACTCCCATTCCAATAGCAGTGCGGATTGCAACTAGGGGATGGTGCTGCAACAAGCTCCCGTGAGCATTGGGTCAGCCAATCTCATTATCTTTCCGATCACCTCGGTATTAGGCTCCTTACCGCCCAGCAGATGTTCAGCACTGTCTGGATAGGGGGCTCAATGGCGGCACGCAATTGATCCAGCACATCGAGAAGCTCGAACCGTGCTGAATCTGGGATATCGTCGGTGGGCGAAAGCTTGGTAAGTGCAGCCTTGACTGTGGCAGTTACGTCGGCGATGGTCTGAGCCATTATGGAAGGTTTGGAATGATGAGCACGACAGAGGAAACTATATGTGGTAATTTTTGGGAGTTTGGCTGGGCCAACTGTGGAAGGGATGGAAAGGAATTCGGGGCGTCAATGTGGAGGACGGTTTGCTTTCTACGTATTTATATTGCGCCCATAATACCTGCTTACTCGTGACGCCATTCACTATCAGGCACTTCTTAGCCCCCACTGGCTCTTTTGCTGGAGAGGGGCAAGAAGCTAGAAGTTGATCGACCGTCGCAACGTCTAGTATGGGACATTAATGCGCTTAGTGGCTAACATCGTCCTTGATCTTCACTACAGCGCTGTTTGTTGAGTTGCGACGGTAAGCACTAAGACGATGTGACCCGAATAGCTCTGGTCAAGGGAGCATTGGGAGGTCGATTCATTGGTTCCCTCGCTAACTATAAGACTTGGAGCAGATGATGCCATCTGTTAGTCGCTCCATACCGCTTAGTCAGATTGTCTAGTTAACTAGTTGACTACCGATTCACCAACATGGCGAGAAAAGGGTCTGACAGGCAGCTGCGTTAGTCCGGCTTACATGGTTAAGGGTTCAGGCCTCGGAACCAACATTGGCGCGGCTCTTCCAATGCGGGAGTTGTGTAAATAACAGCTAGGCCTCTCTCTCCACTTTACTAATACACGTTGATACATACGCCAGAACGCAAATACAGCGCAATTGTTTTTTTAGCATGCCTTCCTTTCTGAAGCCCTAATCCCCGCGTGGTGAACTAATGGACGATCCTCGGGTATTTTGACTATAGCGTTCTGCATTGAACGTAGTTAACATTGCCTAGACAGACGCAGGTGGGCATTTCGACCATACCCACCGAAGTTCCTCCCAAGATCTCCCCGGAGGATTACGCCCGTCATGGTCGCATCACAGATCCCTGGCACGTCTAGATCATTGTTGCACATTATCTAAGAATACTAGATACTCTCTCTTGAAAGAAATACATCAATTATGCCATTGAAACCATCGAGTCCTCATTGGTAGTTTGAAATAAGAATGAAGGTAAAGTATTAATGTCTAGGATAGCTGGGTGCAATATCCACTCGAGTCGCAACATAGCAAGTGGTTCCGCTTCGGATCATCGCCCGAGGGGCAGCCGTCTGTCGAATTAGAGACTGGAATGTTATCACAGTTGCCATTTAGTTCGTACGGCAGTCGGACCTGCTCGGTACAGCAGAAGCAGGCCCCGACTTCTGGAGTTGGGGTAGCGGTTTGGGTGGCAGTTGTTGTGGATATGGATGTTTGCGTGTCCGTCACAGTAGTTGGTGTAGCCGTGGCTGTGACAGAATCTGTATCGGTAATAGTCCTTGTAGCTGTGAGGGACTCCGTGTGATGAATAGTTTGCGTATCCGTAATGTTTTGGGTAGCCGTGATGGATTCTGTATCAGTGGTAGTCTGGGTGGTTGTAAAAGATGCAGTGGCCGTGGTAATCTCCATAGCTGTGTAAGATTCGGTATCTGTAGTTGTCTGCGTGGCCGTGAGCGTGTTGTTGATGGTCTGTGTAGCTGTGGTAGGCTCTATATCAGTTGTAGTTTGCGTGGCTGTGATAGTATTGTTCTTAGTCTTCGTCACTCTTAATGACTCTATATCAGTAGTAGTCTGAGTAGCTGTGAGTGTGTTGTTGATAGTTTGTGTGGTTCTGAGGAATTTTGTGTCAGTGGCAGTCTGTGTTGCTGTTGTAGGCTGCTTTTCGGTAATACTTTTGGTAACCGTCAACAAGTGCGTATCCGTGACGGTCTGTGTAGCTGTGGTGGACTCTATATCGGTAGTAGTCTCTGTAGCTGTGACCGACTCCCTGTCGGTAGTAGTCTTCGTAGTGGTGGTAGATTCTACGTCGGTGAGGGTCTCCGTAGCAGCAAGTGTGACTGGGCCTGCGCTTGATGAATTGCTCCAGGAACAAGTGCAGTTACTGCGATGTCCAGGTAAAATATTAGCACACGCCACCAACACAGTCCGGGACACCTACGGGGTGTTTGTGCTAAGCAAAGGAAGCCCCAGAAGATTTAGTGCTGGATTGCCCCCGCAGTTGCCACCAATGCTGCCTGCCATTCTGCACTGTGAATTGTTAGCTAGTCTCCCCCATCCTGGCATTCTGTTCGCCCAACCAGACATATTCTTACTTCCATATCGCAAGCCTCGACATCACAACCTCGCAAGGCGACGCCGAGATTGATGTCACTCGGAAGGGCAGTGACATAGCTGAGGACTGTCAGGACAAATATGCGCCTGAGATGCATTTTGCGTTGTAAAACCTTCCCCAAGGCTTATAGCGAATGTTAAAGTCGACCGAGGCTTGTGGTCACCAAGAACTAAAGCACCCTTTGACGTCGATAGCGCCTAGTTCCTTTGCACTATGCAACATGGCTACGGGGTGCCTCCTTTCTTAAACCTTCTGGGAGCTTTGAATGTACGGAATGTGGTATAAGCGATCGAAGAACAACTAAAAGTAGCCAAATATCTCCGACCTCAACATACCGCGGTGATGAGCCATAGGGTCTCAAAGGACATAAAGATATAGTGATGATGTTAGCCAATAGGACGATGCACGTGTTCTCGAAAGAGGCCCTTACATGCTCGTTTATCTTTCCTCAGTGATGCAAATATGCAGGGGGCGGAAGTTATGCCAATGAATACCTTTTATGGCCAATTATGCCGAAACAATGCTGGAAATGAGTCTGCTCAGTCAGCAGCGGGCTGCAGGGCTGCATGGAAAGGCCGGAGTCAATGATTCCACAACCAATGCCATGGTCGATCCTGCTCGCCGATGCAGAACAAATGGTTCGGTTCTTTTGCGCACTTCCAGTCACCTTATTACCAAGTCCCCATGATAGAAAGCGCACCAAGCGAAATATTACGGTTGGGTGCTACTTGGTGGGAACCATTATCGCGTGCTGCGGAATGCTAATAGAGCGATTCTCTCCTCCTATGTTGAATCATGCCTGAACCCGTGAACTAAGGAGTCCTTCGTCGACCTCAACATAATAAGGTGTGGCGTCATTTAAGACAGATATGCCAAATACTTCTTATCATGCTCAAGCATACCTGAACCTCAAATGGACGATTCAGGGCAACGATTGGCGTGACTCTGCCACGCCACATTCCACGCGAGCACCGCTTTCCACATGAGGTTACCGGTCTGGGATCAGTGAAACTTGCAAACACAGATGGTGGTATGGTAGTCTGCCATAAGTTGAGGTTACCCGCTGGCGGCAGGAACTTACTGATTTGGATCAATGAAAGATATGGGACAATGATACCAACAGACTTGGTCACATATCTAGTCAGTATTATACTAAGTATTTTTTCTGTCTGTCTGTTTCATTATAGATGTTCTAGATCATAATATATCTTTTGTCGAAGCACTAATCGCTAGACTAAAAACGATAAACCGCTCTTGGCTAGCCAGACGACGGAGAGAAATGTGTCCCAACATCTTTTGTATTTCCTCTGTAGTAAAGGTAACGATAAACACTGCTACCTCGGAAGCGGTTGGCTTTCGGAGCCTAGCCTGAGTTAATCTCCCTGCCGGCCTGCAAGAGGTGAGGCCTTCCGAGTCATGGGCAGAGACAACACACTTGCCATGTTCCTGTCCAATATTCTGGGTGGCCGTGTCGTGGGAAGGAGCGTAGACTATAGTAAATGATGTTACTATCAACAACCTGTCCTAGGGTCAATGGGTCAGGTTTATCGTATGATTGAGTACCCATAGGATTCGGATCATGGTCCCCCACCGGGGGATACAGGGGGTTTTGCTGTATTCAAAAGATTTTTGCCGACCGGTATCTCATATGTTTCTGGCTCAGCAACTGGTAATTGTCCCTCGACACTCAGGTTGCCACAATCGGGGTTGGGGTCCTCCAGCTTGGATCCCCAAATAGGGCGGCCGTCAGGGGTGAGCGGGCCACGGTATTCCGGGTTGTAGTCCGAACTGTTCTCATCTAGGGTAGCGACGTAGCGGTTTCGTCCTCCCCGCTTGCTGTGGGTTTTGGTGTAGTGGGCGTTGAGGCTGTCACTGCGAGGGAACGCACGGTGGCAGCCGGGCACCCAGCAAACTTGAGGTTTCTCTTTGGAGTGGCTCTTCATGTGGCGCCTCAGGTGCTCCTGCCTCTTGAAACGCGCCTTGCAGCCGGGCTCTTTGCACTTGAACTGGAACTGTTGGATGCTAGAAGGCAGATTCTCGAGGCTTAGAGACTTACTTCCCTTGGATGGTGTACGTTTCGAAGGATGACTGACTCCAAAAATCTCCCGGCCCAACTTTGGATAGGCTAGAGCGTAATCATCTTCCGATGTTTCATCGATGATCTCAGCTTCGTGCCCACTTCCGTTCGTCGCATTGGTCCACCTGTCAGCATTTGAGTCAACGTCGCTAACCTCTTCCTCCTCTATTGGAAGACATGCGAGAGATACTTCTTCCAAGTGCCTTCCTACATGTGTTGCATACTCCTTCTTGGACTTCCAACCAGATTCTAAACACAGTGCGCACTTATGATCTTTGAATTGGGGCTTCAAAACTCTCTCCTCAGCCCTTGACACTGTTGTCTTCAAAAGACTCCCAGCGATGTCAAGGCTGTGAACTTTTACCAAATGATCAATGAACTCTCTCTCGGCATAGGCTGTGTAATTGCATGTACAGCAACGCCATAGACACTGACTGAAGTGCGCAATGTATTCATGATCCATCCAAGACTTGCGGCTTCGGAACGTTTTGAAGGAGTCTCTGCAATCTTCATGTGTGCACAGGTATGACTCCAAATCTGAATAAACGTGCATCCTGATAATTTAGCTGCGCGTCCACTCGTGATAGCAATTCGAACCAAGGTACTTACTTCCAATAAATTCTGTTAGGCATAGATACATAATCACCACAGTAGTAGCAGCGGAAAGTACCACCTACTACTGGTAGAGGGGGTACTCGAGGTCGACCTTTCCCTTCATCTCCAGTCACTGACAGGAATGAGGTATGTGACGCTGTAGTTGCAGCGTAGCGTGATGTTGGGGCGAGAGATGTCCCGATGGCGGAATCACAGAACTGAGAATCGGGCTTGAATAGAGTCAGAGCATCTAATACTTCGTCGTCGACTTCATTTTCCCTGATGCGAATAGATCTTTCCAGGTTGGCTTCTGCTAATCGCTCCACAAGCAGAGTTGAAGCAGATATGAATCTGTCCTATCTGTCAGCTTACAAGAGTAAAGATTGAGTAGGGAAGGGATCCGACCGATCTCGAATGCGCATGGCAAAAGGCTGCGCATCCTGGGACAACCGAAATTCGCTCTGGAGTGGCACGTGCTGCGACTGCTCCTCCTTTTTCAAGCGCGAAATGTTCCTCTCGATCACTGGAACCAGCTCCATCAAGCAGTTGACATAGCAGTGGAGCCGCCCAAAACGATTATACTCACTCTCGCTGCTCTCAGATAAGTTGTCAGAGGAATCATCATCTGAAGACGAGTCAGATGCAGCTTCGTCCAAAATTATGACAGCTTTTTCTAGCTGAGTCACTAATTCTTGACCAAGATCTTGGGCGACATCGCGCCCGTTTCCTGCGTGTGTGCTCGAGTCATAAATCGCGAAGTATGGCCTTAGGACGTTTCCGATGCCCTTCAGGTTCTCGATCACGTTTAACTTCAAGGGCTGTGATCGTCCCAGAATAGTATCAAGGTGCCCAATTGGAAAGTTTTCTTCCCATAAATCAATGTTGGCAACATCCTTCTTCAATGTGTTTCTGTGGGACCCTCGAATTGTTGATCGGAAATGAGATCTCCAGAGATGGACCAGAGCAGCCGAGCAGGTTTGATAGAATAGTTCAACGAAGCCCAAATTCGGATCAAGAGTGCTCTGATCAGTCCTGTACGTGAGCCAATCCTCTGCTAACTTGGTCGAGTCTTCAAACGCCTCCGCCATGTTTGTAGGAATACAGACTATATCAATAGGAACGGATGATCATCAAGCCCTTTACGTGGCCCAAAGGTCCAGGTTGACGTGACATGGAAAGGCGAAATGTTTACTGCCAAGCAGACTGAGATGGACGCGGTCACCTGATGCGGGGCTGATGAGGCTGACTTGCGCCTGCAGGAGTCTTCGCTCCTCATAAGTCGTTCCTGTTCCTACCCGATATTTGCCGCATGGCGCTCCCAACCGACACTCAAATATGGACGGCTTTGGGGCACCCAGTCATCGACGATATTTTGATGTCGCAATCATCTGTGCACTACAGGTCGAGGCAGACGCGGCAGAGAACCTTTTCGACCATTTCTGGGACAGGAATGGAGACCAATACGGAAAGGCAGATGGAGACCAAAATTCGTATCGGACGGGGGTAATCGGCAATCACAATGTAGTGTTGGCGTATATGCCTGGCATGGGGAAAGGTAATGCAGCAAGTGTCGCGGCTAGTTTTCGATCCAGCTTCCAGGGCATTCGACTAGCCATCATTCTTGGGATATGTGGAGGAGTTCCAAACGGGACCAAGGACGGCATTTTTCTTGGCGATATCATTATTGGCAGCGACCTCGTGATCCATGATCTGGGTAGGAAACTACCCGGTTGTTTCCGCCGCAAAGAAGGAATCACGGACCCCGCTATGAATCTTGAAGTTCGAGCGTTCTTGCACAAGTTGTCAAGCCAAAGGGGTCGTGGAACCCTGAAAGAAAGAACCCACTTCCACCTCGGCACCCTGCAAGGACGGGCTAACGGCTATTGCCGCCCTAAACATGATCGACTCTTCGCACCCACCTACAAACACAAGCATTGTGGCACATCGAGATGCAAGAGTGCAAGAAGGACGACCATTGTAAAAAGGCTCACGATGCCCCATGCGAGGCTCTAGGATGTGACCCAGCAAAACTGATTCATCGGTTTCGTCCATCGCCGAACCAGATTAGCATCCACTTCGGGCGGATCGCCTCGGGAGACACAGTCATGAAGTCTGGAGTGGATAGAGATAGGATCGCCTCTCGGGATACTATTATCGCCTTCGAAATGGAGGGCGCAGGCATTTGTAATAATTTGCCTTGTATTGTGGTGAAGAGCGTCTGTGACTATGCTGACAGCCACAAAGACAAGGCTTGGCAGGAGTACGCCGCTGGGGCAGCAGCAGCGTGTATGAAGTCTCTGCTCGAACAATGGGCAGCAGTAGATCATCTCGATAAGAGACATGAGATTCACAAGGTACCAGTACAGGTAGCCGAGCTATGCAGTTTCAATAATTCACCGCAAACTCCCTCATCAAATGGTGACGAGGCAAACAATTCGCAGAGGTATCATGAAGAGACAAGTACAGATATATTGAAAGGTAACACTGCTTTTCCCTCTTGGAGCTTTGGCCTTTATCTAACCCTTGCAGTTTTGTCCACAACTAAATCGAACTTCAAGAGTGCGATTGACTGTCTGAAGAAATATCGAAAATTTTTACCTCGAGATACCGATCTCAAAAGAATATTGAAAAATCAGCGCCTGATTATGACCGATATCTTGGAATATTTGGAAACGGACATCTCAGTCTCGGTCGATGAGCATCTTGGTTCATCGAAGGAAACTTGTCTACAGCTAGCTGCGGAAATTAAGAGGAAGCTGGAAGAAATTGAAATCATCACGAACGGTCTTCTTGCTACCACGAAGGCTAAAGTCCAGTCTGAAAGTCCACTCAAGGTGAGAAATGTTTAACAGTACACCTGGCTCATTTTTCTTTTCTAATCAGGTACATTATCTTCTTCACAGAATGCTGTGGAAGACCTAGGTTCTATTGTTGGGGTCCTTCGATCTGAAATCTCTCGAGAACAAACACCCCGATCATCAGATGAAGCGAGAATGACCAGGACTGTCATAGAGCACTACGAATTTCAGCAATTTCGCATTGTTCAACAAGCTGCTTGCAATCTCTACGATGCCTTTAGGACAGCTTGCCATGCCCACTCTGTCCATGATGTGCATCTGTCTCTCAAACCGGACCTCAAGGGAACGTTGACCCAGGTGCGCTTCAACTTAGCCTTAATCCAGGACCCCAGTGTCACGACTACAGGAAAGGCAGTATGGATTAGTGTAGAGTCAAGTATTAAGCCCAGCGATGATAGCTTCCAGTCATCGTTTTCGACATTTTCAACACCATCTACTTCACAAAAGCGTTCGAGAGTATGCGAAGAAGGACCTTGTCCACCAAGGATAAAGCGCGTACAATTTCAACAATTGGAGGCCATCTCAGGGCCTGTGCAAGCATCCTCTCAAGAGAAGACCCCTATCACAATTCCCAAACTTTTTTTACAGCGCAACCTCTGCACTCTCGTTCAGAGATCTCTCTGTCAAGGAGGCTCTGGGGGCTGCATCGGACTCCTCAGAGACGATGAAACATGCAAACACTTGGCCTACATCGATACTCAAACAAACAGCAGCACCACATCTGCCTCATCACTCGCCCAATTGTTATCCCGCTCAGCATCAAAGCCTACCAGAGACATGGGTCCCTACGAGTGCGTTCAACTAGCAAAGTACCTGGCCACAGCCGTCCTCTACTACCACGCTACCCCCTGGCTCCAAAAGGCATGGCGAAGCAACGATGTGCATTTTTTGGGAGACCACGAGTCTCTCCTCCAGCAGACTCGACAGGCATTACCATACATCACAACGTCAATCCAAGCCTCGGCCTCCGTGGACAGCACAAACACAGAATCATTTGTATACCGCCAACTCATACGAAACCCTGTACTCTTTGGCCTTGGCATTATGTTCATCGAACTCACACATCAAGTTCCCATCACAGCTCTCGAAGAACACGTTGACCAGGTCAAGGGGGGGACACGAGACTTCGTGGAATATTTCACCGCAGACCGGTTAGTTACACATAGCAACCAGATCGTGAGCAATGGTTTTCGGGAGATCATTAGGAAATGCCTGCATTGTGACTTTGGTCACAATAGTGATTTTTCGAGTCCGGCGCTTCAAGAGGCGTTTCATCGGGATGTTATTGTAGGTCTTGAGAATCTGGAGAGGCGTCTTCGGGACTTGCAGCTTAATTATGTGTGACCATGTTCTGTGTATAATTTGCTTGATACCCTGTTGTTATGTGGGAACTGTAGAAAGAGTCCAATGGGAGTATGTGCATCAGTGAGTTTGCGCTCAACTCTAAACCAGTTTCCCCATAAATTGCCATTGGGCGACCAGATACATGCATGAATGCCATACGCGCAATGTAAGATAAGCCTACAGCAGTATGGCCAGGCTAAAATCCATTTTCTCTTCCTATATTGTTTTTTCTTACCAACCCCAGCTATTGTTGGCCGGTAAACAAGTTATCACCACTAAAGCTTTGGCGGTGAACCCAGCAAAAAGTCTTTCAATGTATATGGGTCCTGGGATTCGAGAACGACGGTATGCATTTGCGCCCCCGGTGAGCTTACCTGGGCCACAGTCATTGCCAGGATATTGGGACAGTGAACTCATACGTTCTCGTGATGTCTGGTATTAGTTCCCACTTTGGAGTGACCAAAGTAAATCCGTTGTGGTTGTGCGGTCACCCTGAGGGCCGGTCAATCCAGATTTTGCACGGGCGGCACTTGCCCGAAGTTTATTTTGGAGATCAGCTGAAACCATGGTGTCGGCTTCGCTCATTCGGAACACATGCCTTTCACCTTCTTAACGCCATACTTTGTTATTTTTAGACTGGAGAGGAGCTTGGTCCGGCGCTATGGTCCCATGGTTATAGGCAGAAGCTGGTGCTGGGCCCCGAAAGTCGGACTCTTGATGGCTAAATCTTTTTAAGGCGAACTCTAACTCGAACTACAAAATCCCAAACAAACATGAAACTGCAGCGGGAGCAACCCCGCCCCACTGGTTCATCCATCTCCATGACCTTCAGTCTGGGTGTACGAAGTGGATTTGAGAGGGCTGCAGAATATCACCATTATGGTTGCTTTGTGACTGCAATTAATGGCTCTTAGTTCGCAGACAACGGCCGACCTACGCAAATCATATTTCTAGTCGGTGGAAATAAGTCCATGCGTTCGCCGATCACACATGACCCCTATCCTTGGTGTTCTTTAGTTGCTTCGGAATAGAGGAACTTTAAAGGTGGATCGACGCATCCTGAAACCATCCCCCGCCAGCTTCGTGCAGCACCATGCTGTTGGGTAGTTCTTGCGGCTGAACCAGTCAACCACGAGCAGGGAAAGGCTGCTACCGAATAAAAAGGTAACACCATCCCCGTCTCACACGCTGCCATTCTCATTCACGTCATGCAAGCTTGCACCTGGTGTGCCAGCAGGCCTACAGGCTAGGCTACTACGCATGGCTTCTGCATCCTACAATGCTGGCCCTGGCATTCTGGGCCTCAATTGGGTAGCAGCTGGAATTGCCACCATCATCATGCTGTTGAGGCTCATTGCGAAGCATCGTATTCGCAACCTTTCTTGGGACGATGCAATTATGATCCTTGCTTATGTATGGAACCTTTTGGGAAGATTATACGACTAAGCTTACCATGGCAGACTTTGGCTATTGCGTCTTCCGTCCTGATCACTATAGCAATCTCCCACGGATACGGACGACATGCTTACGAACTCGATCGATCGGACCGCGTCTTGACTGCGAAACTTTATACAATTTTCCAATGCGTCTCGATTCTCAGTACAGGAACGGGAAGGCTGGCTTTCGTGTTATACTTGCTGCCAATATTCCGACACAAATACCTCATGGGACACATCTTGTGGCTTATATTCGCGCTTCAGCTCATTGCCAATTACGTCAGTCCTGTGACTATCCTGGTCCGATGCGCTGACATTCGCGCTATATGGGACATTACCGTCAAGAGCAAATGCTGGGATCCAAAAATTCTGATAACTTATAGCTACGTGCAATGCAGTAAGTCCATATGCCGAATAATGTTCCATTGGATAGCGCTAATCTCGGAAATCACAGCTATCAATACAGCAACCGACCTTTATCTCGCAATATTTCCTGCATACACCTTGTGGAGTTTGAATCTCAAACGGCGGACGAAGACAATTCTCATCATACTTATGGGCCTGGGGCTAGTGTATGTACGATATCTGTCGTTGAGCCCAGCACAACTCTAACCGTTTATCCAGCGCCATGGTAGGATCAATCATGCGGATTATAAGCCTTCCCTCCCTCTCCATCATCGACGATCAATCTGCCGCAACGAACCGCCTGACCATCTGGGCCTTGCTAGAATGTTACTTGGTCATCACTACGGCATCGATTCCATGTATTCGGACCTTGGTGATGGACTCTGTACGGCTACTAGTTAACAGCAGTCGATCCCGCTCAGGGAGAGAAGCAGATAGTAGGAGGACAAGGCAGAACACTTGGGGCGATTATCCCATCTCGCGAAGCTACCGTGTAGCAGTGGGAGATGATGTCGAGGACAGGCGGCATATGCTGGGCGATGTTGAGTTGGGGCGGTATGGACATAATGGAATAAGCAAGTTGGTCGAGGTGACTGTTGCAGAAGAGGCTATACCAAAATGGATATAATAGAAGAAAAAACGATCATAGCCTAGTGCTACAATATAATACATTAATATAGTTTTACGGTTAAGATACTGCCATTAATACTAGTAGGTTTTGAAAAGTACCTAGACATCCTTCGGATACGAAGAACATCTTCGGCTTTTGTTCGTTTGGAGCGCTACTAGTACATGCAGACCGGCGTACAGACCACGATGAAACCACTATATACTCAGAAATTAATTATATATATCTCTCCCCGACATCCGCCGATCAAACAAGTGACCTATAAGGGCATACTACTACTCGTCATCCCCGCCATCGCCGCCCACCACTCCTCCTTCTCCAACAGCAACCGGAACATCCATGACCGGCCCATGATAGATCTTCCTCCCCCTAACCAAATACCACCCCAACCCGAGCAGGAATTCGCCCATAAACACCACAACCGACCAATTCATATTTGTCGGCGTAACAGGCAACTCCTCGGGAAAGAATGAGAAGAAAATAGTAATGGTCAAGAAACAGATCGACCCAATATTGATCAGGATTCCCCACAGCCTACCCATCTTCCACGGGCCGTATTGGAGCGGCTCGTTCTTGAGCTTCTTGATGAGTATCAGCACGATGGCAATCTCGTATGATGAGAACAGTCCCGCTGTTGTCAGAGAGATCATGGCGTTGAAGGCTGCGCTGGAGCCGATGTTGATGAGGCAGGTGATGGCTGTTATTATGGCGCAGAAAGCGATGGCGCGGAGGGGCAGGGCAGAGCCGGAGGTCCTGGTGCTTATCTGTTTTAGTCTATGTTAGTATTGATGGTATTTGTGCGGAGGGGTGCGATCTCTTCGTACGTGCGACAGGAAATCAGCGAATGGAATTCCCTTGTCCTTGGCTAATGCCCAGGTAAGGCGCGATGAGGAGGCAAGGAATCCAAACGAGGCGCAAATTGTCAGGGCGATCACGATGGCACTCATTACGGATGTTCCGGCGTGGGATTTTGTCGCATTGAAGAAGACTTCGATGAAGTCGTATCCGGTGGCGCTGTCGAGGGCGGCGTCCAGGTCGCCTACGCAGAAGAGGAAGGCTAGGACCATGGCGAAGCCCAGAGTGCCGTTTAGCATGATAGTCGCGATCATGCACCAGGGGACTATGACGGAAGCGTTGACTACTTCTTCTGCTGTTGTTTCGTTAGATATAGATTATTTTTGGCTGGGAAGTGGGTGTAAATGGCTTACACATATGACAGGGGCCATCGTATCCTAGGTTACCAGGTTAGTCTATCCACAGCGTCAACACGAGGACTTTGTAGCGTACCAATAAAAGGAAGATTTGTCCCCATCAACCCAATCAGCCAGGTAAGACCAGAGTTCTTCCATCCCGAGGTGTTGGTGAAGTTCGCAAAGACGAATTCGGCGTTCTTATGCGGGGCCAGATAGACCAGAGGGATCAGGATGGCTAGGAAGCCGGCGGTATGGAGAATGAGGATCAGCCCTTCGATCTTGGGGAGAAGCCGTGCCCCAAAAGAGTTGACTAGAAGGCAGATTACCAACGCCGCGAACATGAGCAGTGTGCCATGCCAGCGTTGAAAGTCATACCCGTCATAGTTCAGCACCAGAAGACCCTGCAGGACGGTGGCGGCGAAATACACTCCCGATGCAGTGTTGGCCCACCATCCGATCATGTCCAACCATCCGGTTACCCAGCTGAGGAAGACAGCTTGGCCTTTAGGGGCGAGTATGGATACCCAGTGGTATTGACCGGCTGACGTTGGAGCCCTGCATAACAATTGACTTAGTGTTGTGTAATTCGACCGTGGTATAGGGGGCTCTGTACATCGAGGCCATTTCGGCGAGAGAGGCTGCTGTTAACAAAGCTCCAATCCAGCAGAAGATGAACCCGTAGACGAGGGTCGCTGGTCCTCCGTCAACCATGGCTGCCGGATTGGCGCTGTATACTAGTCAGCCCGGTGACATCGATCATGGAAATGTTGACACCCACGTGAGAACCGCCTCCCAAGTACACATCATCGTGGTTGTGAAGCCCAGCATGGACAGGAAGCCAAAATTTCTCTGCCTCCATTAGTTACGAGACACAGACATAAATTGAGTGCTCACCTCGAAACGCTGCTTCCTGCCAAACTTTGCCATGTCTTCATCATCACGATCCTTGTATTGCCGGGAGCCCAGCTCCTGGATTGCCATCTCTCCATGTTTGAAAGACATTTTGCTGCTTGACTGGACGTTCAATAGCGAAGTCAACCAGGCAAGGAAAAAAGAAAGGTTATGCGGGGAGAGAGGAGAAAAAGAAAAAAATAATTAGTGAACAAATATGAGGAAAGCTGTTAAGACCCGAGCGACCGACAGATACTAGCAGGGGTTGGTGGCTTGTTGCACGATAATAAGGTCTATCCCTGAAATATTCACACGGGGATTGCTTGAACAGGAAGGTCGTCTTCCATGCTCAATCAAATCGTCCACATTCGACCTTCCGAAATAAATTAACATATGTACCCCCCTGAAGCCAGCCTCGGAGCTGGTATGATAAGTGGCCGTAGGATATTAGGCCGTCTATCAGTCCGTCAAAGAGCCGGCGTTGGCTGCATATTAGTTTCGGGGTTCTAGACATTGCATTTATCAAGCCTTAGATGCGCCCATGGAAGACCTCTAGACTTAGTCTCATCTGCAGCTTTGTTTGTGCTACTGCAAGCTCCTCGCCTAGACGTTTGCGCGAATGCCTAGTGGTCAGACAAGGGTTGAAGTGAAGGCGGCCACAGAGGCCTCAGACAAGCTTTGGGATATACATGAGATGGTCAGATAATAACCCTACCCAGAATCAAAGAAAATGTCGTTGATTCGCAGAGGTCAAGCTGAGACTTCACGACCGAGAACTAACGCTGATGCGATCAATCGGCCATTGTCATGTCAGCACTAGTTCGTAGTGTATGCAACTAATCGCTGGCGTTATCGCTCCAGCCGGTAAACGCTCCCCATTAGCCTCGCCCTATCCCCTAAAAAGCAAACTAGATGTTCTCAATGCCTGCTTGGCTTCTCAACTGCCCATCCCCCGCGCTGCTGTGTGGACACACCGGACGGCAAACCCCGCTGTTAACACACACGACTCAAAGAAGTCAACCACCAGAAGAAGCCGTGTTTATTTAGCTTACTGTCCCAAAACCTCACGATACTTCTCCTGAATTAAATTTGGCGTCTTTGAATTCGATCGGAATCCAAGTACCTGTTGTTACTTGAGATTTATTCGAGCCACTCAGCCCATATTTGCAGCTTCTAGTGAGCCGAAATGGGCAGCAAAATTGATTGGGCAGCGCGTCCCACATATTCCCTGGAACAACTGGGACGCTACTTCGACCGGATAGGACTCCCCGACAAGTATCGAGAAGCTCTTCTTCTCATGCAGGATGAAGCGGAACTCAACGCCCAGTCTGCGTTGGCTTTGCTGAAGGCGCTGCAACGATACCAACTAGCAGCTGTGCCTTTCGAAAACCTGAATCTCCACTATGCTGTTCATCGCAGTATCTCAATCGACCCTCACAAACTTTTTGAGAAGATTGTTGATTCCAACTCTCGTCGTGGGGGCTACTGCATGGAGAACAGTGTCTTGTTTGGCACTGTCTTGAGAAGCCTGGGATACGAGGTGACTGCCGTAGGGGGGCGAGTTAACGAAGCGGCGCAGCCCATGTCCACTTCGAAGAATTGGAGAGGGCCTAAGTACGATGGATGGTAGGTTTCCTAAATCGCTAATAGTTTAATCTAGCCATAGGCGCTTGCTGACTAGCTCTATCGTAGGAATCATATGGTTAATATCGTGACCATTGATGAGCAAAAGTACCTGGTAGACGTTGGATTTGGCTCCAATGGGCCACATCAGCCCCTCCCACTGGTCCAGAATTATGAGTTCCACAATGTTGGCGAACAGTCGGGGAGGCTGGTCTACGGACCTATCGTCCAACACACTAGCCGAGGCCAATCTCTGTGGCAGTACGAAATCCGCAACGGGGACAGTCAATGGATTCCCGCTTACTGCTTTACGGAGATGGAGTTCCTCCCCGAGGATTTCACGATCATTAACTACTACATGAGTACTAGCCGGGAAAGCTGGTTTACTTTCCATGTCGTCTGTGTGAGGATGTTACTCGACGAGGATGGTGACAAAATAGTGGGAGACCTGACTTTGTTTAACGACACCCTCAAAGAGCGCCGGGAAGCGACATCCAAGGTGCTAGAGAAATTTACCTCCGACGAGCAGCGGGTATTAGCGCTTGAAAGGGTGTTCAATATCCACATTTCTGCCGCCGACCGAGAGACCATTCGCCATACAATCTCGGAAATCCTCTAAGGATGGACGATTCAGCCGGGATAAAGGATTTCCGGACGGAGGCCGTGGGAGGGGAAATGAGTGCACTGATAGGCATTTATTTAATGGAATAGGACCTGAACAATCTAGTTCCTTTTATTGGCCACTTCCCTTGTTGATAGCGGGCCTAATTTAATCTTGATAAAGTAGCGCCACCGTTCATTTAGCACGCGCTTTAGGGTACGGACCGGTTGCTGCGCCCGTCGCGGAACTGGCCAGTGATGGGAATCCCTCAAACCCGCTGACGTGGCGCGGGATGAACCCTGTCCGACTGAGAGTATTAGGATCAGGATGCTAAGCTCAGTTGCTTAGCTATTTCTTAGCTTCGCTCTAATTACTATAGTAATGTCTTTCGGAGTGGGCGAACGGCTGGCTCTTCCGCTCCACTTCCATTGGCGCCACCTTCTCATCTCACGCAAAACACGCCAGTAGGTTTCGCGTAAACCATATACATTATCCGGGGAACATGAATTGGAATGATGGGACTCAAATCAGGATCAGTGCGAGATTAAATAATAAGAAAAAGACCGAGAAAGACCGAGACGCCAAGCCCTTCATTCGTGTTTCCCTCATAGCCGTCGTCCAGACAATTGTCCCTTCCGCATACTTGGGTTATTCTAATTGCTGCTTTCGAAAAGGTAGTGCCTTTCAAATTGGGTATAACCTATTCCTGAACCTCTTTTGGGATGGTCTCCGCTCCCGGGTGAGGCCTTCCATGCGCACCGGTACTATGTGGTGGGGATGAGGACTTCGGCTGGCAAACGGTCATTGTGTATTCAACAAACATTAAGGTCACATGTGAAATGCAAGGGTCTAAGTTCTCCTTCCCTTGGATAATTCTTCCATTTACCGTCACGTGTATTAGATTTTATCAGAAACCACCTCCTACAAACTTCGTCCTCTCCCACGCGCTAAAAAGTCGGTGCACTCCAGATAATCGGCATTACCTGGCCGTCCTTCCCCAATAGAAGCCAAATAGCATCTCAGAGCAGAGGTCAGGCGCCGCTCATTATTTCCTGCGGTATACTGGTCTAATCTGTCAGCTTTGGTAATCCCAGATAGGAGACCGTAATTTTTTCGGAAATATGCTCACTCAGCTACCTACACGACGGTGCGTCATGTACCACGGACTAACTTTAGACTCAAGCTAAGCAGGGATTATAAATTGCATCTCACAAGGGTATTCCCCTAGAGCGGACGATAGTGTAGCTTACTCGCTCGGAGAATTATCTTTCCCAGCTCCTGTGTGCACTCCCACAAAGAATGGATTATTATGACGGCGGGCCCTTTGCTCGGGACTATACCGCCCAACTGATCAATGCTTCGAATAGGGGATCTTTCAGCCGGTGCTGGGCGATAATTTACAGAGTAGCTCTGCTTGTGAGTCATATGGTGTCAGTGTACATGGCCTTCCATACCTACCGGCACAGGACGTCGTACACCCTATGTTCACACATTGGTAGTTTACGCCACTGCCATACCCACTTCTGGGTTTTCATGCCTCCGCGCGCGCTCCTGTCTCAGCAATGGAACTTTTTCGACGGCTCCCGCACATTCATTATGCTCTTAACCTCCGAGAGATTGGGATACGCGCAATCTACCCGGCGACGCAACATGCGCCGGAGCATGTCGACGAAATAGCCATTGCCACTATCTACTTGATGGTAATAATGATACTTGCTGTTCTGATACGACTCGCCTTCCGTCTTCATATGCTCCGCTCACCTGGAGTGGGATGATGGAACAATATCGCTTGCACTGGTATGTTTGCCGCTCCAGCGTTCTAAGACAATAGGTGTATTGATTCATTAATGCGGATCTTTCAAGACAGCAGATCTTCGCTGTTGCACAATGTGCTGTCATTCTTGTTGGAACGGAGCACGGGTTGGGCAAACGAAAATTGAGTCTTAATGACACGGAAGTCCAAATACTAGAGAAGGTGAGTCTCAGCCAGTGGTTGATGGCACAGGCTTACTGATATCACGATGTCAATCAGGTTCTCTACTCGTCGAACATTCTATACGTTCTTGCTCTTAACTTGGCGAAGATCTCAGTACTGCTGCTTCTGAACAGATTGGCTGTGAATAGGTGGCATAAGAAAATCTTATTCTGGACTTCTGTTCTGGTCGGTATCTGGACTGTGCCGGTGTTTTTCACTCTTGCATTCCAATGTGGAGTACCTGAACCTTGGGATGCTAGTAATGGTCATTGCATAGATATTGTGAGTTAGCAGATCCTTCTCCCCATCACCCCAAATTTCACATACAGTCTTATGCATTCGAGAGATTCATATACTTCCAGTTCTCTACAACAACACTGACAGATACTGACGCAGTTCGCCTTCTGGGCCGGCATCTCCCCTATCGACATAATAACGGAACTGGTCATCTGCATCCTACCCATCTACATCGTGAAGCCAGTCCAAGTCATCTTCGGGAAGAAAGTCACCGTTGTGGTTGCATTCTTCATCCGCATCTTGTAGGTCCAATTTGGGCTTCATAATAGACATTCGACTAACATGAGATTGGCCAGCGTTGTTATAACCACCATCATCCGCCTCATCTTTATGCGCTACTCCAAGCCCTATCCCTCCACGGACATGAACGACGCTGCGTTCGCAACAACCATTACAACAGAATGCGTCCTCTGCGTCAGCATCATGACAGCCTGCATTCCATGCCTGAAGCCGTTTCTGGACGCCTTTGACAGCGGCATGCTGAATGTATCCTTACATAAGCGCATAGGCGGAGGCAGCAATAGCAACTCATATGGCAACACCTATGCGTTGACGAGTATGACCAAGGGTGTTAAAGAATCAGCCACTAGGTCACGGTATTTGGAGGATGAGATCGAGGGCTTGGGCACTTCTGCTGCCGCGTTTGCTGTTACATCTCCGGGTCAGCCATTGGGTAGGAGGGACTCTACGTTGGTGATTCAAAGAACAGATCAGTGGAGCGTGAGGTGCGAGTACGTTGATCCGAAGGATGGATCTGTTGGGGATGAGACCGAGCAGTCGGAGAGGAATGTGGCTAGGTGTGAACATTCTTTGTAGTGATTTCCTATGTTTCATGTACAGTTTATAGACAATGACGGTTGATCTGTGGTAGAATCTCTGCTGATCGATCCATGGGCCTACCTCGTCGTATACTCTACCCCGAATGGCGTTCGTGTTTGTGTAATTACGTTCGCATACCGTATAATCTACTCTTTAGTCACAGGTGGGTGCTCCATATATGACTTATTGGTTAATTTGATTGTTGCTTTATCTTCGAATGTAGCACAGCCAGGGTACTCTTGCCGAGTCACTAGCAGCTAGAAGAAGAAGAAGAAGATATA